GCCTGGTTACAAGGAGATCAAAGGTGAAATTAAATGTTCAGGGATATGTAACTTTTCGAAGGGGTCGGCAGGAAGAAAAAGGTGTTGGGGTAACTTTGTTGGTACGGGATGGAGTAAATACGATAGCAAGAAATTATCTTGGATCAGAAAATATAGAACTTAGGATATAACTAGGGGAGAACTAGAATATGACTAGGAAAGAAACTGAGTTAACTTTTCAAGTTTGATATGACACTTCTTCAGAACTTTAGCTGACATTCACCAATCAATAGATAGTAAGAAAGGCAAATGGACGATTGGCCTTTATTTCAAAGAGAATGGCGTATAAAAATAACGAAGTCATGCTAAAACTATACAAATCACTAGTTAGACCACACCAGCCTTGGTCTCCATATGTAAGGAAAGATATATTGTCATTAGAGGCAGTCCAGAGAAGGTTGACTGGGTTGATCCAAGGTATGGAGGGATTTTCTTATGAGAAGAGGTTGAGTAGGTTGGCCTGTACTCATAGAAGAATGTAACCCTATCTTATTGAAGCATAGAAGATTCTTAGGGGACTTGACAATGTAGATACTGAGAGGTTGTTTCCCCTTGTGTAAGAGTCTATGACCAGAGAGCATAATTTCAGAGTGATGGGTTGTCCAAATAGGAGAAGGTGAGGAATTTTCTCCCTCAGACCGTAGTGAATCTGTGGAATTCTTTACTGCAGATTTTGGTGAAAGCTGGGTCATTCAGTATATTTAAGGCTGAGGTAGACAGAATTTTAATCAGTAAGGGAATCAAGGGTTATGGGGACAAAGTAAAGAAGTGGAGTTGAGGATAATCAGGTCTGCTGTAATCATATTGAATGGTGGAGGAGACTTAATGGGCTGAATTATCCATTTTTACTCCTGTTCTAAGGGGTTGTGAATATTGATCATTGTGCAATGATCAGTGAACCTGTCCAGTTCTGACCTTGTATTGGATGGGTGGTTATTAGTGAAGCCAAAAGTAGATTAGGACATGACGTTGAAGAACTATAATGTCCCGGGGCACAGGTGACTGGCCTGCAACAATCGCAACAATTTTTTTTATGCAAAGTAAGACCCAAATCACTGAAGAGCTTTTTGTCATTTTTATTGAGCGGTGAGGCCACACTTGAACAAGTGCTGCCCTGATGTCACTCTCAATTTCAGGAATTCACCTCTTTTGTTCATTTGGATCAAGGCTGGCATGAGGTCAACAGCAGAATGACCCTGGCAACACTCAATCTAAGTGTCTGTGAATGTATTATTATGAGCAGCATCTTGCTTCATACCACTGTTGATGACCTTTTTCATTATTTTGATGATAGCGAGTAGAATGATGGGACAGTAACTGACCAATTTGGATTTGTTCTGCTTAGAACATAGAACTTAGGGCCTGTACTGTGCTGTACAGTTCTTCGGCCCACAATGTTGTGCCGAACTTTTACCCTAAGCCTAAGGTCTATCTAACCTCTACTCCTACCTTATACTATCATCCATATGCCTGTCTAATAGCCGCTTAAATGCCCCTAATGAGGCCGACTCCACTACCCGCTCCGGCAATGCATTCCATGCCCCGACCACTCTCTGAATAAAGAACCTAAACTCTGACGTCTCCCCTGTATCTACCTCCACTCTCTTTAAAACTATGCCCCCTCATAATAGCTACCTCCACCCTAGGAAAAAGTCTCTGGCTGTCCACTTTATCTATACCTCTGATTATTTTGTACACCTCTATCAAGTCACCTCTCATCCTTCGTCGTTCTAAAGAGAAAAGCCCTAGCTCTCTCAGCCTTTCCTCGTAAGGCCTTCCCTCCATTCCAGGCAACATCCTGGTAAATCTCCTCTGCACCGTTTCCAACGCTTCCACATCTTCCCTGTAATGAGGTGACCAGAACTGGACACAGTACTCCAGATGTGGCCGAACCAGGCTTTTGTATAGCTGGAGAATAACTTCACGGCTCTTGAACTCGATCCCTGTATTAATGAAAGCTAACACACCATACGCCTTCTTAACAATTCTATTCACCTGGGTGGCAGCTTTCAGAGAACTGTGGACATGAACCCCAAGATCCCTCTGCTCCTCCACACTGCCAAGAATCTTTCCATTAACCTTGTATTCTGCTTTCAAGTTTGACCTTCCAAAATGAATCACTTCACACTTTTCAGGGTTAAACTCCATCTGCCACTTCTCAGCCCAGCTCTGCATCCGATCAATGTCCCTTTGTAACCTAGAACAGCCCTCCGCACTATCCACAACTCGACCCACCTTCGTATCGTCCGCAAGCTTACTAATCCACCCTTCCACTCCTACATCCAAATCATTTACAAAAATCACAAATAGAAGAGGACCCAGAACAGATCCTTGTGGTACACCACTCGTAACTGAGCACCATGTTGAATATTTTCCGTCCACTACCACCCTTTGTCTTCTAAGGGTCAGCGAATTCTGAATCCAATCTGCCACATTTCCCCCTATCCCATGCCTCCTTACTTTCTGCATGAGCCTACCATGGGGAACCTTATCAAACGCCTTACTTAAATCAATGTATACCACATCCACTGCTCTACCTTCATCCACGTGTTTGGTCACCTCTTCAAAGAATTCAATAAGGTTTGTGAGGCATGATCTACCCCTCACAAATCCATGCTGACTATCCCGAATCAAACTGTGCCTATCCAAGTGATTATAAATCTTATCTCTCAGAGCCCTTTCCAATAATTTGCCCACTACTGAAGTAAGACTAACTGGCCTGTAATTTCCAGGGTTATCCCTATTCCCTTTTTTGAACAAGGGAATGACGTTTGCCACTCTCCAATCTTCCGGCACTATACCCGTGGACAGTGAGGATGAAAAGATCATCGCCAAAGGCCCTGCGATCTCTTCCCTCGCTTCCCATAGAATCCTTGGATAAATCCCATCAGACCCGGGGGACTTATCTACCTTCAGGTTCCTCAAACTTCCTAGTACATCTTTCTACTAACGTCCACTTCCTCTAGCCTACCAGCCTGTTTCGCATGTCCTCCCCTACTACTAGGTCCCTCTCAGTTGTGAATACCGAAGAAAAGTATTCATTAAGGACCCCTCCTATCTCTTTAGGCTCCGTGCACCAATTCCCTTTACAATCCTTGATCGGCTCTACTCTTTCTCTGATCATTCTCTTATTCCTGACGTACGTGTAAAAAGCCTTGGGGTTTTCCTTGATCCTATCTGCCAAGGTTTTCTCATGCCGCCTTATAGCTCTCCTAAGCCCTTTCTTTAGCTCCTCCTTGGCTAACTTGTATCTCTCTAGAGCCTTTTCTGAACCTTGTTTCCTAAACCTTATATAAGCATCCTTCTTCCTCTTAACCAATCGTTCGACCTCTCTCGAGAACCAAGGCTCCCTCACTCGACTGAATCTTCCCTGCCTGCTAGGGACAAAACATATCGAGCACACGCAGTGTGCTTTCCTTAAACAATCTCCACATTTCTACAGTGCTCTTCCCTGACAGCATCTGTTCCCATTTTATGTTACCCAGTTCTTGCCTAACAGAATTATAATTACCCTTCCCCCAATTATAAACATTATCCTGCTGTATGTACCCATCCTTTTCCATGACTATTGTAACAGTAACAGAGTTATGATCGCTACCACCAAAATGCTCCCCTACCAACAGGTCTAACACTTGGCCCGGTTCATTGACAAGCACCAAATCCAAAATGGCCTCTCCTCGTGTTGATCTATCTACATACTGTGTCAGGAATCCTTCCTGAATGCACTGGACAAAATCCGCTCCATCTAAACTATTACAACTAAAAAGTGTCCAATCAATATTTGGAAAGTTGATGTCATCCATGACTACAACCCTGTGACTTCTGCACCTTTCTAGTATCTGCCTCCCGATCTGCCCCTCCACTTCTCTGCAACTATTAGAGGGTCTGTAAAAAAAACCCCAACAGAGTGACTCCTTTCTTGTTCCTGACTTCAACCCAAACTGACTCTGTAGACATATCATTCTCGAACTGCCTTTCAGTAGCTGCTATACTAGCCCTGACTAGCAATGCCACTCCGTCGCCTCTTTTACCACCCTCCCTATTTCTTTGAAAGCATCTAAATCCCCAAACTTCCAACAACCATTCCTGTCCCTGAGTTACCCAAGTTTCTGTAATGGCCACAACATCGTAGTTCCAAGTACTGATCCATGCTGTAAGTTCATCTGCCTTATTTCTGATATTTCTAGCATTGAAGTATACACACTTCAAACCATCCCTGTGTTCACAATTTCGCTCCATCGATCGCATTTCTTTATTACAACCTTACTTCCTGTTGTGTCTGTTGGAAGGCTGAATACCTCATCCTCTGAATTACAAAACCGGTTCCCCACCCCCTTTTTGTGGACAGGACATTCCTGGACCCTTTTCTACTTTGCTGGCTAGGTAGAAGTGTTGTACTGTCCTATAACAAATTGGTAAGGATTGTGGTTAGTTTTGGAGCACTAATTTTTGCTTATATTACTGGAATGTTGTTGGGGCTTATAGCAGTCCCTTCAGTCATTTCTTAATGTCTTGTGGAGTAAACTAAATTGGCTGAAGATTGGCCCCTGTGATGTTGGGCATCACAGGAAGAGGCTCAGACGGATCATCCACTTGGATGACTACAAATGCTTCTGACTTGCCTTTTGCACTAATGTGCTGGGTTTCCATAACAGAGTATGGGGTAATTTCTCCCCTTGTTAATTATTCCATTTTCCACCACTATTCGTGACTACCTGTGGCAGGATTACAGAGTTTTGATCTGGTCTGTTGGTGTGGGATCAACTAACTCTGTAACATGCTGCTTCCAATGTTTATATTATGCATATTATGCATGTGTTTGGGCTTCATTGGGTTGGCACCTCATTTTGGTCTGACAAATTGTGTTATTGAATGACTTGTTGATTAATTCCGTTGGATACAGTAGGAGATTGTCCATGATCTGAATCCCTTCTGCAGTAATGCAGTTATTTCCCTGATAGGAGCTGGAAGAAGGTCTCAGCAGTCACCAGCCGGTATATATTACTTTAAATGCCTCTGGCACAGACATCATACAGGATCTTTCAACAGCAGATGGATGTCTCCTGCAGGAGAAGCTCAATGGATTAAATAAACGCTGGGCAGCTATTTCTACAGAGGTCAAAGATCGGCATCGAAGGTAAATGACCATTTTTTAATGTGGCAAATATTTGGAGCAGTAGATATGAGTCATTCTCACATTACAACCTGAGAGAAATCATGGTGGAACCTTTGCTTCACAAAGAATTGTATGATTGTTTATCAGAGTACATCTTTACTAAAAATCTTTATATTTAACCATCTCTGTATGTGATTGGAGCTTTTCTTCGATTCTTTAGTGCACATTGGAGCATTTAATTTGTGAAAAATCATGTATAAAGCTTAATTTTCATTTTGATAAAGAAGATCAAATACATTATGTATGTGGTCCTGTGTTCTGAGGAAGGATCACCAGACCTGAAATGTTAACTCTGACTTCTCCTCACAGATACTGCCAGACCTACTGAGATTTTCCAGCAACTTCTGTTTTGTTTCCGATTTACAGCATCGTTCTTCTGATTTTTATCAAATATATTCTGTTGACCTAACATTCAAACAGCAGCATTGTTTTCATGGGAAGAAAAGGCAGTTGAGTCAAATTGTCTAAGGACATGAGTAACCAGAATTAACATCCTTTAACTTCTGGGCTGTTTTAAATGCAGACCTCCTTAGTTCTGCAGGTGCTAAGTATTGCATTATTTTCTGTTTCTTAGGTTGGAAGGAGATAGCCAACAACGCTCTGATTTAAAGAATCAGCTGGATGAATTTGGTTTGTGGTTGGATAAGGTGCGGAATTCTGTAAAGGCTGTGCATTCACCACCAACAGAACATGATCTGAAGGAATTGAAGGTAAAACAGACACATCTTATGCATTTCAATCTGAGTGATTTACCTCTAAAGCAATTTTATATTTTAACATTTTTTTGAAAAAGGAACTTTGTCTTTGAGATTGCTGTAATGATGGACAGCTAAAAATTGTCTGTCTGAAAATTACATGTTGCTTTCTGTTATTGCTCCCTGAGGAAGATCATGGGGATTGTACAAAGCGAAACTTGATTTGATGTTTCCTTTGTTTTGCAGTATCCTAACATCCCATGCTCATCTGCTAGCAATCAGTTTTACAGAGCTATTCAATCTACATGCATCTTTAGAGGTTTAAGATGTTAATTTTTCATCCAGTAACGCGTGGGAATCGGAAAGAATATTAGAGAGTAATATCGGGCTGTACAAAATACTGGGAGAGGCAGATAACACTAGAATAGAGAATAGTAAGTTACTGGAGCGTCCGAATAACAGACAAAATAATGAAGCCAGACGAGAGTTGCGTTCTATGTATGTGAATGTACAGAATACAGTCATTAAGACTGAAGACTTACAGCCATAGAATACCATGTGAATCATGATGTGTTGATAATGGAGACCTGGTGGGACTGAGTGTTAATTACAAGGTGCTCAAAAAAGGTTGGAAAGGGAAAAAGGAAAAGGAATGGTGTTTTTTTTAAGGAGAGCATTGCAGTGCTAAAGAAAGAGGATGTCTCAATGGTTTCAAGGATGCAAACAATTTGGCTATAGCTAAGGAACAAAAATGTTGCAATTACATTGCTTGGTGTAATCTATAGACCGCCCACTAGTTGAAAGGATATAGAGGAACAAATCTGAAAGAAAATTACAGAGAGAGTTGCCAACAAGATAATGTAGTTACAATGGGGTTAATTAATTACCCAAATATAGACTGGGACAGCGGTAGTGTGGGGTCACTGATAGATGAATGTTTGTCAGTTGTGTTCAGGAGACTTTCCTGCAGCAGTATATGTTTGGCCCAACAGAGAGGAGGCACTGCTGGGCCTAATTCTTGCAAATAAAATGGGCCAAATAAATCAAATGCCAATGGGGAATATTGAGAAAACAGTGATCATTGTATCCTTAGTTTTAATGAAGATGGAAAATGGTACTAAACAGTCAACTGGTGGAGAACAGACTTCAAGTAAGGCAGACGAGGTTAGCAAATCAGTGTAATTCTTTACTACAGTGGTCTCGAGAGATTGGGTAGTCAAGTATTTTCAAGACAGATATTTAATCAGTAAGAGAATTCAGGGCTACAGGGTAAAGGCAGGGAAGTGGAGCTGAGAATTATTAGAATTATTGAGCAGCAAGGAAACTGGATTGCCTGAATTTTCTACTTTTGCTCCTACAGCTTATGGTGTTATGGTATAACTGCGTCTTATTTTAAATGTGATGAGTCTGTGCTTAAAGCAAAATCAAAGTATTTGTTGTGACTGACGCAAATTGGTGGTTAAAAAGAAGGGAGGTGATTTCTTCTCGTCTGAATGCAACATATAGAGGATGTCTACTTGCTTAATGGAACTGACAGAAAGCTGTTCAACCTTTGTCACCTGAGATCCAAGGTCAGAAATCACACGACACCAGGTTGCAGTCCAACAGGTTTATTTGAAAACACAAGCTTTCTGAGCCTTGCTCCTTCTTCAGGTGTATGTGAGAGAGGTGGTATCAGACACAGAATTTATAAGTAAAAGATCAAAGGGTCACACCACTGATGATGTATTAAACAAGCCTAAGATGCTGTTAAGTCTTTAATTAGTTAGAAGGTTTTAATCGATTAATATGTAAATGTAAATCCCCAAATTTCTTTCAAGTCATTGCCCTGAGAGAACTAAAGGTTTTATCAGTGTAAAGAAGAGGTGACATTTTAGGTCAGACAATGCATGTTAGGTGTGAGGTCTTGTTTAGTATCTGTTTGTGTTTTGGTTTGGAGTCAGACTAGTTTTATTTCTAAGGTAGGAATTTATAAAATACCACTTTGACTGACTGCCTATAAATTGTGTGCTTTGTGAACAAAATCGAATGTATCTGCAAATACAAATTCACCCCATAGATTTTTGCGTGTGTGTGTATGTATGTATGTATGTATATGTGTGTGTGAGAGAGGGGGGTACAGGGCGAGAGAAACTGAGTGTGTGTTTGTGAGGGGAGGGAAAGAGAGTGTGTGTGTGGAAGAGAGGGAAAGAATGTGTGTGTGGGGGAGAGAGAGAGCGTGTGTGGGGGACAGATTTTTTCCATACCGCCATCTACCAGCATTGACCGTGTGGTGCTGGAGGTTGTAGACAGCTTCACACATGTCTGCTCCACAATCGTTATTAATAAATCAATATCCACACCGCAAAGCTGCAGCTGTCTAAGCTGAGGAAGAGAATGTGGAAATATAGCAACCTGACTGAGGACATCAAAATGTAAGTCTATCAAGCTTGTATCATTATTGATTTTTTGTACAGTGCTGAGACCAGGATAGTGTATGTCAGAAAGAGAAACAACCGAATAGTTTCTATCTTCACTGCCTTGGATGTATCCTCAACATCTCTGGTGGAACAAGTTACAAACTCGGAGGTCCTGGACTGAGCTAATTCCATCTTTATACGTTCACGACTAAGATTGCAGAAGTTTACCAGGAAGTTGCCACGGCTGGAGAGTTTTAGTTATGAAGAGAGATTGGAGTTGTTTTCCTTGGATTGGAGGGGACTGTGAGGGAGTCAAGATTGAGATGTATAGAATCATAAGGGCCGTAGATAAGAAGGAACTTTTCCTTTTGGTGGAGAAATCAATGACCAGGTAGCATAGATTTAAGTTGAGAAGTAGGTGGTTTACATGGAGCTGAGGCAAACAATTTTTCACCAGGGGTAGGTTTTGGGAATCTGGAGCTCCGTACCTGAAAGGGTAGCAGATGCAGAAATATTTAGATGTACACTTGCGATGCCAAAGTACATGACTATGGGTCAAGTGCAGGGAAATTAGATTAGTATGATTAAGTGCTTGCGTATGACTGTTGCAAACTCAATGGGCTGACGGACCTTTTTCTGTGCTGTAGACCTCTATGACTGTGGCAGCTTCTTAATGTTTTGAGTTTGATATGAATCTTCAAAACAGAACACTGCTTTTAATTCATTTATGCTGTGTGTTCCTACTACTGAACTTTCAGGAGCTCACTCTTTCTTGAACAAAACTGTCACATTTGCCACTCTATAATTCTCTGGAATCTATCCCCTATTTAAGATTTGAAAGTTGTGGCAAGCTCTTTACCTAGCAGGCCATCCAGATCAGGTGACAGCTACTCTAAACATAGACAGTTTGTACTGGAAAGACTAACTGTGAATTTTTAACTCGCCCATTACCTCTGGGGTCTTTGTTTCTATCAATGTTTCTGAAATTGCCAACCTCTTCCTAATTGATACAAAGTACTAGCTCAGTATACTACCCTTGCCCTAAATACATAATGCTTTCTTTGTTCCAGTAGGCCCCACTCCACCTCTTACTACCCACTTTGTATTTATATTGCAGTAGAACATTTTTGGGTTCCCCTTTATGGTAACTGCCACTCAATTTTTGTTCTTTCCTTCCCAGTCTAATTTTCTTTCCACTTCACCTCCCCTCCCCCACCAACTTATTGTATTTGTTGTCACTTGAAGGATTTGCCCAGCTTGAGTAATAAATTGTCTTTTCCTGTTTCATGATTTTTTAAAAAAAATCATTTTTGGGATGTGGGCATCGCTGGCTGGCCAGCATTTATTGCCTGTACCTAGCTGTCCTTGAGAAGGTGGTGGTGGTGTGCTGCCTTCTTGAACCACTGTAGTCCACTTGCTGTGGTTTGATCCACAATGCCATTAGGGAGGGATGGTGAGTGGCTTGGCAGGTGGTGTTCCCATATATCTGCTGCCCTTATCCTTCTAGATGGAGGTGGTCGTGGGTTTGGAAGTTGCTGCCTGAGGATCTTTGCTGAATTTCTGCAATGCATCGTACAGATAGTACACACTGCTGCTACTGAGTGTTGGTGGTGGAGGGAATGGATGCTTGTGGATGTAGTGCCAATCAAGCGGGCTGCTTTGTCCTGGATGGTGTCAAGCTTCTTGAGTGTTGTTGGAGCTGCATTCATCCAGGCAAGCGGGGAGTATTCCATCACACTCCTGACTTGTGCCTTGTCGATGGTGGACAGGCTTTGGGGACTCAGGTGGTGAGTTACTTGCTGCAGTATCCCTAGCTTCTGACCTGCTCTTGCAGCCACTGTGTTTATGTGGTGAGTCCAGTTGAGTTTCTGGTCAATGATAACACCTAGGATGTTGACAGCATGGACTTCAGTGATGGTAACACCATTGAATGTCAACGGGCAGTAGTTAGATTGTCTCTTATTGGTGATAGTCATACCTGGCATTTCTGCGGCATGATTGTTACTTGCCCCTTGTCAACCCAAGCTAGGATATTCTCCAGATCTTGTTGCATTTGAACACTGACTGCTTCAGTATCTGAGGAGTCGCAAATGGTGCTTGACATTGTGTATGATGGAGGGAAGGTCATTGATGAAACAGCTGAAGATGGTTGGGCCAAGGGTACTACCCTGAGGAACTCCTGCAGACATGTCCTGGTGCTGAGATGACTGACTTCCAACAACCACACCAATCTTCTCAAGTGTTAGGTATGACTCCAACCACCGGTGAGTTTGCCTCCTGATACCCATTGATTCCAGTTTTGCTGGGGCTCCTTGAAGCCAAACTCGGTTGAATGCATCCTTGTTGTCAATAGCTGTCACTCTCACCTCACCTCTGGAATTCAGCTTTTTTGTCCATGTTTGAATCAAGGCTGTAATGAGGTCAGGAGCTGAGTGACCCTGGTGGAACCCAAACTGGCCGTCACTGAGCAGGCTATTGCTGAGCAGGTGCTGCTTGATAGCACTGTTACTGACACCTTCCATCACTTTACTGATGATCAAGAGGAGACTAATGGGGCGGTAATTGGCCAGGTTGGATTTGTCCTGCTTTTTATGTACAGGACATACTTGAATAATTTTCTACGTTGTTGGGTAGATGCCAATGTTGTAACTGTACTGGAACAGCTTGGCTAGGGGAACAGCAAATTCTGGAGCACAAGTCTTCAGTACTATTGCTGGAATGTTGTCAGGGCCCGTAGCCTTTGCAGTATCCAGTGTCTCCAACTGTTTCTTGATATCACGTGGAGTGAATTGAATTGGTTGAAGACTGGCAACTGTAATGGTGGGGACCACTGGAGGAGGCTGAGATGGACCATCCACTCGGGACTTCTGGCTGATGATTGCTGTGAAAGCTTCAGCCTTATCTTTTGCACTGATGTGCTGGGCACTTCCATCATTCAGGTTTGGGATGCTTGTGGAGCCTCCTCCTCCAGTGAGTTGTTTAATTGTCCATTATTATTCGTGACTGGATGTGGCAGGACTGCAGAGCTTAGATCTGATCCGTGGGTTTTGGGATTGATTAGCTCTGTCTATCACTTGCTGCTTATGCTGTTTGGCGTGCAGTAGTCCTGTTTGGTGGCATCACCAGGTTGACACCTCATCTTTAGGTATGCCTGATGCTGCTCCTGGCATGCCCTCCTGCACTCTCCATTGAACCAGGGTTGATCCTCTGGCTTGATGGTAATGGTTGAGTGGGCATTTGCCGGGCCGTAAGATTACAGGTTGTGCTGGAGTACAGTTCTGCTGTTGTAGATGGCCCACAGTGCCTCATGATGCCCTGACTTGAGTTGCTAGATCTGTTTGAAGGCTGTCCTATTTAGCACAGTGATAGTGCTACACAACACAATGGAAGTTATTCTCAATGTGAAGGTGGGACTGCATCTCCACAAGGACTGTGCGGTGGTCACTCTTAAATTGCTGTCATGGACAGATGCATCTGCAGCTGACAGATTGGTAGAGATGAGGTCAAGTATGTTTTTCCCTCTCCTTGATTCCCCCACCACCTGTTGCAGACCTAGTCTAGCAGCTATGTCCTTTTAGGACCGGACCAGCTGGATCAGTAGTACTGGTGCTAAGCCACTCTTGGTGGTGTACATTGAAATCCCCCACCCAGTGTCCATTTTGTGCCCTTGCCATCTTCCATGCTTCATCTAACTCTTGGTCAACATGGAGGAGTACTGATTCTTCAACTGAGGGAGGATGGTATTTGGTAATCAGCACGAGGTTTCCTTGCTCATGTTTAACCTGAAGCCGTGAGACTTCATAGCGTCCAGAGTCAATGTGGAGGACTCCGAGAGCAACTACCTCCTGACTGTATATCACTGTGCTGGGTCTGTCATGCTGGTGAGACAGGGATGGTGCTGGTGGTATCTGGGACATAGCCATACTCACAGAATCATACCTTACATACCGTGTCAGGCTGTTGCTTGACTAGGTTCTGAGGAAGGGCCACTGGACCCGAAATGTTAACTCTGTTTTCTCCTTCACCGATGCTACCAGACCTGCTGAGCTTTTCCAGCATCTTTGTTTTTGTTGCTTGACTAGTTTGTGAGACAGCTCTCCCAATTTTGGGACCGACCTCCAGATATTAGTGAGGAGGACTTTACAGGGTCTCTGCCGTTGTCTTTTCTGGCGCTTTAGTCAATGCCAGGTGACCCGTCTGGTTTCATTTCTTTGAGACTTTGTAGCAATTGGTGCAACTGATTGGCTTGCTAGGCCATTTTCGAGGGTAATTGAGAGTGAACCACATTACTGTGGGTCTGGAGTCACATGTAGGTCAGACTAGGTGAGGATGGCAGATTTCCTTCCCTGAAGGACATTAGTGAACCAGATGGGTTTTTCTGACAGCTGATAATGATTTCATGGTTATCAGTAGATTCTTAATTCCAGATTTTCTTTAAAAATTGAATTCAAATTTGACCATCTGTCGTGGTGGGATTTGAACCCAGGTCCCCAGAACTTTAGCTGAGTTTCAAGATTAACAGTCTACTGATATTCTCTATTTTGAAGTCATCGTTAGATCATTCCTTGCCCTTCTCCATTTCTTTGACTCACCTGTGGAATGTGGGAAATGCTGGCTGGGCCGGCATTCATTGCTCATTCCTAATTGCTCTTGAGAAGGTGGTGATGAGCTGCCTTCTTGACCCATGCTGTCCATTTGGCGTTGGTTCATCCACAATGCTGCAAGGGAGGGAGTTCCAGGATTTTGACCGAGCAACATTTTATTTAAAAGCAAAACACTGTGGATGCTGGAAATCTGAAACAAACACAGAGTATCCTGGAGGAACTCAGGTCGGGCAGCATTTGTGGAGAGACAAAAAGAATTAACGTTTTGAGTCCAATATGACATATTCAGGGCACTTTATTGAGATTGATTTTTTATTTCTAGACTAAATCTTGATCTTCAAGTCTGCCAAAGAAAAGTGTTGTGTAGCAGTGCAGCTGTGGTTAAGATCTGTTTGTAGATTGTTGCATTATGTACAATAACTCTATTATTCACAGGTTGTAGCAACAGACCTCAAGTTGCGCAGTGACCATCTAACCATGATGAACAGTGTTGCAGAGGATATGCTTTCAGATAAAAACCTAAGTCTACAAGAGAGAGACAAACTTTCTGCAAAACTTAGAATTATCAATTCAAACTGGAATAAGGTAAGTTTCTTTTAAAATTGACGTCATAAATCACAGTGAGTTGCAATAAGGGATTGGCATTTATTTTCTTGTACTGGAAAGGAAAGTCTCTCAGCTGAAAGGCACAGCAAGTTTGCTACTTTAAGTGTTGCTGAGCCTGAAGCTCTAGTTTCCAGCACCATTTGCACCCAGCAACTTCCAGTGATTTTTTTTTACTTTAACCTGTGAACAGTTAAGAGGGCTGTGCTGACATTTGGAATTATTCTGTTGTTTTGTTCAATATGCATGAAAACAAATTGAAATTAAAAACTACTCAAACTTTTTTTGAGTTTTTCTCAATTTTAAAATCAGTTGGAGATATACATGCAGCAGCTCTGTGTTATACTCTATATTGTACTTTTTAAGTTAATAAAGAAGGGAAGATTGAGCATCTGAAAATAATATAATTATTTGAAAATGTTGCATTATAAATACCATGCGTTAAAAATTGGACTGGACTCTGACAATTTTGGGCTACCAAATGTTGCTACATGGATGGATTGATCAATCTGTTGCTGACTTTGTGATCCCACTAAGACGCATCCAATTCTAGAAAAATCAGAGAAAGAAAATTACTTTTGTTTTAGTCATGTCTCATACACCTTGTATGTAGCTTATGTTCTGTCTGATGATTACAGACAGAATTTTAAAAGCAGAAAGTGGCAGAGAAACTCAACAAGTCTGACAGCACCTGTGGGGAAGTTGGGGGGAAGGTTAATGTTTCAGGTCCAATATGACTTATTACGGATGCAGACAAATTTTATTTCTGTTGCAATATCTTGTTTTCTTATTTAGATGTGCAAAGAACTGCCTGTTAAAGTGAAAGAAATTGAGATTCACCTCCAGGATTATGGTCACTTCAAAGAAGACCTGGAGAAGTTGTTCAACTGGGCAGTAGTTACCGGACAGAAATTCCAACACAGAGGATCACTTTCACCTGGAGACACACAACTTCAGGTAAGTTCCACTGAAGAACAGATAGGTACAGAAAGTGTAGGGCAGAATTTTATCTATTTGATTGGGCTCTCGCTTGCTTGCTGCAGACCTGGTAAGGGCCCTATATCATCTCCTTTAGAAAATGACCTCTGAATTGTTTGGTGCCCCCAACAGCTGTTATCCAATCAGAACAATGAAGCAAGGCAGTGACCAAAAGTCCAGGATCAGTGAGACCCAAATGCCACTGGAAAGTGAGGGTGGGATATGGGTAAAGGGCAGGGGTCAGATGATAGGCTAGTAAGGTGGCTTTCAGGAGGACAACCTTGTTCCCAATGTCAGACACCTTGATCCAGCATTGGCTGACTGAGAATTAGGCACCTCCTCTGGGAGTCCACAAGCAAAGACAAGAAGATTTGCTTTTGAAGCTTCCTATGTGGCTACTGCATTGCCCACCACTTGTTGACTACCAGTGGTGGTGGGATGAGAGCCAGAAGTGGGCATTCATTGTGTTGGGTGGGAAAGGCTGTCCATGAGACTTTACATTCCAGAAAAAATGGGCAGAGGCACGAGGATAACTGCATCATCTGATTCAATTCTCCTTGCCAGTTCCACTCTTTGATAGACTTGTACCATGCTATTTATCTTGCTATAAGGAGAACAGACTGGGATATAAAAATTGTACATTTGCAATGTAGTTCAGTATTTTTCATAATCTTCATGAAAATGCTTGGAATATCCAGTGCATCTGTCATGTTGTCACAGATAAATGCATGATGCTACTGTCAGTGTTTTTGGTATGCAGAGAGTTTGGTATAGACTTGCTGAGAGAGATTAAACTCAAGGAACTATTGATGTTAATTGATGCTCTGATCCCTGCATGCAATTCATAAAATATTAAAACCAAGTATAAATCACTCTTCATTATAGAGGATATGATTTTTGGATAAAATATATTTGATCAGATAATATGCAAAAAAGACATTGAATTAAAGATGCAGTCTTCCATAATAAAAAGCTACATCTATACTTTGCCCACTGGTCTTAGCTTGTATTGTTGATTGGAAAAGGGACTGCTTTTGCAGCTGAGCTGGCACGCTGTTCTGCAGTTGCTGCAGAGATGGGATATGGATCTGCTGCTGCAGTCTTGGTGAGGGAATATTGTACATTTGTTTCAATTCATTCATGGGATGAGGGTGTCACTGGCGAGGTGAGCATTTATTGCCCATCCCTAATAACCCAGAGGGCAGTTAAGAGTCAACCATATTGCTGTGGGTCTGGGGCCATATATAGGCCAGACCACGTAAGGATGGCAGCTTCCTTCCTCAAATGACATTAATGAACCAGAGATAGTAGGAACTGCAGATGCTGGAGAATCTGA